AAATTCTCAAGAACAAAAACTGTATAAATAACGTTTCATTATATGTTTAGGTTTTATTGCAATTCTAATAATCACTTTCATTATCAGTTATCGAGCTAGACAAGAGTGTGTGTGTGTATATATATATATGTGTGTGTGTGTGTGCATGTGTGTGGCTGTCAAAGAAACTTGAGTTTTCATTCTTGCAAACAAATTCCTTTGTATTTTTTGAAAACTGGTTCCATGCTAAAAGATAACACAGCAAATGAAACTATAATCTGTGTTTACCAAACCATATCTTTATACAATTTGCGATATCCTTCTAACAATAAAATATGATTTGTCAAGAAAAAAATAACACTGTCTAATAACAGAACTAAAAAAATAAATCTTCCCTTATTTCTTTTAACCATATTGTTCATTTCTCTTGATCTTGTAAAGTAACAGAGGAACTCCTATGAAAATAAGGATAATATGCATTTATAATAGAAAAGTGAAAGTGAAAATAAAGTGAAAGTAGAAATGAAAGTCTGACATCAATCTTCCTTCAGTGAAAGATTATTTGGGGTTTAGAGAACGAGGTAGAAACTAACGAAAAATAATTAAAAAAGAAAGAAAGTTTGGGCTGGGGATTTACGAGTAGGTCTGAATGCGGTAAAATAAGCGACGCTTGATAGACCTTATTTCCGGTCTGAAAATGCCGTGCAAATGTGTTCAATCACGACAGGATTTATGCACAAATACAAGCAGAGAATTGTCTGTTCCTTTTCAGCCATTGCAGCAAGAACTATAAAAATGGGAACAAAAACTCATTTAATAGAAGAAAACTTTGTATCCCTTTCTTCATTTATTTCTTTTCTAACGGCAAAACAGTAAACGTATTTATAAGGTCATCCCATATAAAATGTATTTTTTGTTTGCCGACTTATCACAAAAGGAGAGAAAATTTTACTAGCCTAAGCAATTGTTTTAGCGTTTATTTCTTACTAATCCTTTTCCAATTTGGTTTTTAGATGGTTGTTTCTATAAAAAAAAACATTCGTAGCGTCCAGAAAAAGATAACAAACTGTTGTGGACTCCGTGAATGGAATCTTGCACAAATAAATAAACAACGCCAGTAATTGAGATAGAAAAATAAGTGTATTAAACGTAAGAATACAGATTTGAAGTGAAGATTAGTTGTACAGGAATGCAGGTTAGTAGAAAGTATATGTACAAGTCTCTGTGATTAAAGCCGTAAACATCTCTCTCTGGACTCTTGTATAACTCTCTGAGAACACCCTGTGTCTACCTCCGAATCTCTCAACCTGTCTCAACGTATCTCAACATATCTCCACGTATCTCAACGTATCTCGGTATTTAATATCCCACCCACGAGGAATATATGTGGCACAAGCCCGAGTTTAAAGTGGGTTTCTCCGAGCCTGTAGGCTCGGCCAAAAATATCCCCTTTAAACCCGGCTAGACGGGTTCAGGGCCTGTCTACCTCCCCGGACGAAACCTTGCCCTTCGGCAAAGCTTCGTCCGGGTTCTCCTCTACCAAAGCAAAGAGTTCGACAGACGCCGAGACTGTATCTCGACGTTTCTCAACAGCAGGTATTCTCTCTGTCAATATAAGTATACTTTTGACGAGTCCATCTTATGTAAAAAAAGGGGAGAGCCCCACAACAATTATAATTACCATTTAAATTCGATGTATCAGCATCCAACTCATCCCCCACGGATTATTATTTATTCAAACACATTACGCAATAAAAGATTCTTTTACAGGGAAGAAGTAGTCGAAACATTAGAACGGTTTATTAAGGCAAATGGAATAAACAGCTTAGAATCACATTGGAAGAAACGGATGTACAAGACGAATATTATTTTGATTAAATAAAAATTACATTTTGATTAAAGAAGTTGTTCTTTTATTTGTCATTCATCAAAATATATTTCATATAGACCATCTCAATACCAACCATCTTAATCACTTAGATATTTCCATGCGCATACGGGAAGAAGAGAAGGCATCATGTTTTAAAAGGTGTCTTCGTTATTTCATTTTAGCTGTTAAATAAGACACCCTTTTGTGTAAGCTTGATCACATACAGGAATATCCCTCGAGGGATACAGCTATGAATTTCGACTCGTATTTTCTGTGATAAAATGTGTTAAATGCAAATATATACATAGAAAGGAAAGTAGGTAGATATGAACTGACAATAGACGCTTTTAAGAATCTACACGAAAAAATAGTGGAATGGTTAACGAACTGAAATCAATGATCATTACGACTACGACTACGACTGAGTAATGTGTTCTTTACACAATGACTACCTTGTGACCTTGTGCCCAAGCCAGGCTACAGTTAGTCAATACGATTGGCTATGGAAAAATTATCATCCAAACCAAAACGTCTTACCACATCAAATCGGATGTGCGGATGGTGCAATGGATAGCTGCACGGAGTTCAAATTATAGCCGTGTTTGTCATATTTAGTTACGCGCAAATAACTTTGGGAAAGTTATGAATCTATCTCCTCCTCTTAGATATGGGTTAAATAGTAGGACTTTATCTAGAATAAACATTGTTTTGTATCTGTCTATATTTCTGAGATGAGGTATTATGTACATTATTTACATTATTCGAACTCTTGTCCTCATATTTGTCGCCATATTTATTACAACGTTTCGGCCTTTCAGGATCTGTCTATATTTCGAGATGAGGTATTATGTACATTATTTACATTATTCGGACTCTTGTCCTCATATTTGTCGCCATATTTATTACAACGTTTCGGCCTTTCAGGATCTGTCTATATTTCTGAGATGAGGTATTATGTACATTATTTACATTATTCGGACTATTATCCTCATATTTGTCGCCATATTTATTACAACGTTTCGGCCTTTCAGGATCTGTCTATATTTCTGAGATGAGGTATTATGTACATTATTTACATTGTTCGGACTATTGTCCTCATCTTTGTCGCCATATTTATTACAACATTTCGGCCTTTCAGTATCTGTCTATATTTCTGAGATGAGGTATTATTATGTACATTATTTACATAGTTCGGACTATTGTCCTCATCTTTGTCGCCATATTTATTACAACGTTTCGGCCGTTGTACGCTCCGGCCTTCTTCAGGTGGTTGGAATGTCGAACTGAATTCTTTATTTCGCTCACTGATCTAGTTCCACGTGCCATGTTTAATAGATGTCATTTATCAGTTATCTTCTGTTAATTTCCCTCTGAAAGTTCTCCACTGCCTTAAGCGGGTATTAAACTCACACTCTTTGGGTTCTCAAGGACACATGGCACAGTGGATAAAGGCATTAGTTAGATCCGGTGACAGGACCCCAAGAGTATGAATTCAATACCCGGTTAAGGCAGTGAAGAACGTTCAGTGTGTTTCTCCGATAGGAATCGAACCTGTAACCTCAAAGGGAATGACTAAGAGCACATTAGATCAAATGATAATTCCCTTTGTGGTTTCTGGTTTGATTCCTGTTGAAGAAGCTCATATTTTCTATGAGACTTCTCGAACATTCAGGTTCGTAAATGTAATTAATACTGTTTATTTAAAAAAAAAAACAGAGCATTTGCTTAAATAAATTGTATCTATTAAAATAACGTATGAACAGAAAATATATTGAAAAATTGTCGAACTTAATCCATTTCATAATATATACATATATATATATATATATATATATATATATATATTGTGTGTGTGTGTGTGTGTGTGTGTGTGCGCGTGCGTATAAATACATAAAGCGTTCAAATCTTACGCAGGTTTAATCCGCTCATTAGGAATTTAGATAACTCTGTTGAATTTATAATAAGTATCATTTTTTGTTAATTAATTGACATAATTACAAACTGTATAATCCTGACAATAGCTAAAAATAGACGTTATTTGTATAATAAAAACAGGATGATATTTGGGGGGGGGGCAATTTCATGTTTTGCGCTGATAACCGTTACGCCAGTTGTAAATCCCTATTTTTATTAGGATAGCACTCATACTTACGTGCAAGAAATTATACTTTGCTCTCAGGGAGAATCCCACATACACCTAAATTTCTTGAAAAATGCCTTTCTATTCAGATCTTCACACAAATTCTTTTAAGCCACAGTCGTTAGGCAACGTTTCTAATCTTAATTTGTGTTCATATCACTGTTAAAAATATCACTGTTTTCTATTTCTGCTACATAAAATGGCACCGCCTAGCGCTGTTTCTTGAAACGCTTCAGGTTTTAGAAACGTATCTTGTATTTCAAGAGTGGCTGAGAGGAATACATCTGGGTGATATGATCCTAAAAAATATCTCCGTTCATATAAAAAGTGAGAGATCTAGATTGCATACAACTTTATGTATATTAGGTGTGTTAAAAATCTATAGCTATTAAGAAAGACGGTGTCATGGCCATATATTAACCGTTAGTATTTAACACATTTTATGATTGGTTCACCTTGACATCAAACATCACCTCGTATAAACTTTACCATGACCTTAATTCCTGAACGAAAAAAAGTGTTAAGCCACCCACTTATCTGAATCATGAAGAACGTTTAACATTGTCATAATCAAGTGTTGTGAAACACACCGACTTCATTGCAATGGCTGACAACCCCAACTCCCTCCATCCTTTGAGACAAATAAAAATCGTTAGCACAAACAATGCCAGTGTTTATTTATTAAATCTCTTGTAAAGATATTTTAAAAATATTTTTTTGTTTTTAAGTTTTTCATTAGGAGACAGAGAAGCAATAAAAAAAATTAAGAGATGAAAAAAAAAACGAAAGAAAAAAAAAGAGAAGAAAAAAGCGAAAAGCCATGGCGAAGGTTTCTCTCGAGGCTTTGTGATAATCCACCCACTCAAGAAGTGAGAGGCAGCTTACGTCAACCCGATCATCAATCATCTCGCCTGATCTGCTTGACACTCGCTCACACGCTCCTTATCGCTTCGTAACTTTTTCCAAAGTTTTCGGCATTAACAGTAAGTGTGTTACGTACCACCTATTGACATGTTGTCTGCTCGACTCATACTCTGTTCACATCTATCTATCTATCTATCTATCTATCTATCTATCTATCTATCTATCTATCTATCACATTCTGTTCACATCTATCTATCTATCTATCTATCTATCTATCATTCTCTTCACATCTATCACATCTATCTATCATCTATCATTCATCACATTCTGTTCATCATCTCTATCTATCACATTCTGTTCACATCTATCTATCTATTTATCTACATATCTGTTCATCTATCTATCTATCTATCTATCTATCACATTCTGTTCATCTATCTATCTATCTATCTATCTATCACATTCTGTTCACATCTATCTATCTATCTATCTATCTATCACATTCTGTTCACATCTATCTATCTATCTATCTATCTATCTATCTATCTATCTATCTATCTATCTATCTATCACATTCTGTTCACATCTATCTATCTATCTATCTATCTATCTATCTATCACATTCTGTTCACATCTATCAATTTATTTATTTATCTATCTTATTCTGTTCACATCTATTTCAGTCTGACATTATCTATCTATCTATCTATCTATCTATCTATCTATCTATCTATCTTAGTCTGACATGTATCTATCTATCTATCTATCTCTCTCTCTCTATCTATCCATCTATCTATTTATCTATCTATGTTTTATCTTTATTTTTATGTGGAGCTTACGGCCATGTCACATTGAATCCCCGGTTCTTGTTCGACCACGGAATTTAAGCAACGTCAAGCCTGGTCACTACCTAGATAGTTCAACGCTTGGGAATACCAGGTTGGATGTGCGTGTGATAACCGCTCGTAATTGGAGAGAATAGAGTTCCAAGTGGGATTCGTTATATTCACTTCCGCGTCAAGCGAAAGGTATGAAGCGACCGCTTCTTTCCCAGCTATCGGTTAATTAGCTAGGACCTGTATCAGTAAATCATATTTATCTGAAAAATATCTACACGCTCAAAATATTCTCTGCTTTTAAATAATCTGCGAAAGTTTAGTAAGTCGTAAAAACAATTAATCAATGTCTAAAAGAGACTAAAAAATGGAATATTGCTGCCAAGTCTGGGTTGGATCCTCCCAATACTGACCTTCCAATCTTGTCTTATTGTCTTCAAAAAGCGTCTCCGCAGACTTTTTTTCAACTCTAAGATTCCGTTACAACAGACTTAACTTCCCAAATCCCTGGCTACTATTGTCCTTTCCATGCCAAATGTTTTGACGAACTATATTTCATAGTTCCACCAGTTCATGCCTTTATCTCTAAGGCTCGTGATACTACAGCCACATGGTCGAATCAACCTTATTACCTTCGTATTCTTTTAGTAAGAAGAAAGTTCCATTCCGATAGCTTCTACCCAAGAAGCGCTACATTTTGGAACAGTCTCCGGAGAGAATGCTTCCTCGATCCTTTTGAAGTTAAACACATCAATTCTCGTGTCAATCGTTATCTATCCTACTTATCCTTATAACATCCATTTTCGCCCTTTTCGTCTTAACATTTTCTATGAAGATAATTTGAAACTAGTTGGAGTTTAGCAACGTTTTGTCTGTGGGAAAGTGGATGTTGCGTGGAATGTAATTCATCAACCACAAATGCTTTTGAACTCTGTAAAAGCTGTAAGAAGGGGATCAGCCAACCATAGTCTATTTATGACTATAATATTCCATTTTGGGTCTAATTTACCTCTTGTAACGATAGCTCCTAACCTGACGAGTGATGTATTTTCCGGAGAGATACAAATGTATATGTTAATGACTAATTTCAGAATTATAAAGAATATACTATTTACATTATTCGGACTATTGTCCCTCATCTTTTGTTTTGGCATATTTATTACGACGTTTTGCCGTTGTACACTCCGGCCTTTCAGTGGTTAGAAATGTCGAATTGAACCCTTTATTTCGCTCACTAGGTAGACTGTTCTAGTTCCACGTGCCATGTTTAATGGATGTCAGGTTATCTCCTGTTAACAAGTTCAATGCCTTTAAGCGGGTATTGAACACACACTTTGCGTCCTGTCACTGGATCTAACCAACGCCTTTATCCACTGTGCCATGTGTCCTCGAGGATCTAACCACTGGATCTAACCAACGCCTTTATCCACTGTGTCATGTGTCCTTAAGGACACATTTTACAAAGAGTGTGACTTCAATATCCGCTTAAGGCAGTGGAGAACTTGGAGATGGAAATTAACAGGAGATAAATGACAACTGACATCCATTAAACATGGCACGTGGAACTAGAACAGTCTACCCCAGTGAGCGAAATAAAGGGTTCAGTTCGACATTCCAACCACCTGAAGAAGGCCGGAGCGTACAACGGCCGAAACGTTGTAATAAATATGGCGACAAAGATGAGGACAATAGTCCGAATAATGTAAATAGTGTACATAATACCTCATTTCATAAGTATAGACAGATATAAAGAATATATATTTCAAAATAATTAAATATAATTTTTCTGAACATATATATTCCTATATTTCTAGGAACGTTGTTAAACTACCATTACTTTCTAAGTGTTTCCATGGAAAATGTTCACACGAAAAGGGCGTAAAGATGCATTATATGAATTATGATAGATAACGATTGACACTTGACTTGATGGAGTTCTTCAAAACATTTGGCATGGAAAGGACGAAAGTAGCCAGAGATTTGGGAAGTTTTGTTTGTGGTAAGGGTATCGTAGGGTTGAAAAAAGCCTACGGAGATGCTTTTTAAAGACAAGCTTCTGTCTAATAACGACGAAACACTGAAAATGGCCCTGAGAATATGGTCTTCGTCAGAATTCGAACGCCAGTCTGAGGTGTTAAAGGCAATTTTAGCTGTCGGCATGCTAATATCAATATTACTATGCAATCGATAACAACATTGAACAATCTTGTGATTTCGAATCACGAAGGATGAGTGCTAGAGTCCATATAAATAAACAACTAACAATGATTAATCCCATCACATCGCAAATTAGCATTCAATAATTAGACAGCACATTTAGATTAAAATTTAACAAAAATGATCACAAATGTGCAAAAAAAGGGCATAGAAAATGAGAAACGCGAAGAGAAATAGTTCAACGTCACGCAAAGAGTTTTTTGGAAATGCACCGGTTCACTCGCTAAGAAAAGCGACCGAAAA